GGGGGGACAGCTGTTTTCGCCTGGCCCACTGCTGATGCCTGAGCCTTTGGATTTTCTTTGACAGCGAAGACTGGCACGGAAGATCAAAATGTAGGGATTACATTGCAGTAGAGGATTGCAAAGTTTGGGGCAAAACTTTGTGGAAATTTATGTTTCATTCTGTTGTCTTAACTTGTTTCGCAAAGTCGCAGGGTCGAGGTCCCACTTGCCTGCCTGTCCCACTTATGCAAAGTATGTGGATATCAATATCGTCGTATACGAGTTCAGCTTGGTGAACTCGAACAGAACAGTCTGTCACACAGTCACAGTCCCTCACTTGTTGTCCTTTTGGGATTTTTGCCAATTTTTTGGCCTTCCCCTTCCCTGCAGGCACTGCGGATACACAGTAATCTAACTGGAATGCAAGTCGAATTATGGATGTATGAACGTTTTTTACGTGTATGGTATTTAATATTTCTAATTTATGTATTAGAATTTAGAACAAATCTCGGAAATCCGGAATCCCTGATTTGGATAAGAAAAAAAGGAGAAATTGAGTCCAAGAAAAAAGAAAAGAAAAAGGAGGAGAAGAAACAAAATTCAACAATTTGAAATAGAACCAGAGAGAAGTGAATGTCGCAGGGTCGAGGTCCCACTTATCCAAATTCTCTGTTTCTGGTCATTGATCCCACCTGTAATCTTATGGTCCAGAACGAACAGAGCCCAGGCAAGTGGGACAGGCAAGTGGGACCTCCTGTCCCACTTCCTGTCCCACTTGTTCGAATTGTCCGAATTGTGAGACAACAAGAGAAGGGAGTGAACTCACCAGTACCTTATATCTCCACCTTTTTTCTTCCTGGCTTTTCCACATCTCTAGGTACGTTTATAATGTTGTCGAAACACTGGCTGCATGGCAGTGTGCACATAATTGCACATAATTTTTCAGAATGCCGCTGATTAAGTGCGTGCAAGCAGCTTCTCTCTCTCTCTCTCTCTCTCTCTCTCTCTCTCTCTCTGTGTGTGTGTGTGTGTGTGTGTGTGGGTGTGTGTATAGGTTCAGCCGCCTGCTGAGTCGGTGAAACTCTGAGCTCAGGAAGCATTTTGTCACAGCCCCTCGTTTGTTGTCCTCTTCTCCCTCTTGTCCCTCTCTGCCTATGGTTTACCGGGGAGCTCTGTTTGACGATACATGTGGCAGAAAAAAAAAAAAAAGTTTGGAAAGGGCAACAAAATCACACGCGGGCAACAAACTTGTGCGCCGAGTTTGAAAAGGGCGACAAAATCATACGCGGGCCACAGCCATTTTTACGGAAATTGGCCTTTTCAAACCCTGCACCCGATTTTGTTGTTCACACGTGTTTTGTTTGCCCTTCCGAAACCGAAAGTGTGACAGTGCCGGACTTGTTTCAATAAATAAGTAAATAAATAAATAAATAATGATAATTGGGAGCTTGCCCATGAAGTGTCTACTCAGAAGCGCTCAGGAGTGAAGTCCTGAACCTCTTCTCGGATCTGTCAGAGTCGTAGGGGGGCAATTGGACCTTATAGTGTCTGTCGGGGCTGTAGTGTCCCTTTCGAAGATGCATCAGGCCCTCCGAGCAAGGGCGAGGTCCTACTTGTCATTTTTCTTCAATATGGTCTAGTACTTGTTAATATCATGTCCGATGGCCTGAAACGCAGAATGTGGTGTAGTGCAAAGGAGTCCGAAGGACCCTGGGCCCAAGGAGATGTCGGGCTTGCGCCACTGGTTTACTAAACTTCAACCACCAGTACCGTTCCGATATGTCGGTCGCGGGCACTGCGCGCCGGCCTGAAAACCGAGAGAGGCCGTGGATTCAATTTATTGGTGGCTGCCCTTCCGTTTCAGGCCAGGGGGTTACCCTGTGCACCTCTTAAAAGAATAGCCGGGAAAGGTACCCGGTCCGGTGGTTTTAAGTAAACAAAGACAATGAAGAGGAACCCAATGAGAAGAATGAAAGAAACCACGGGAAGGAAAGGGTACACAATCCATACGAGGAGCCTTGTACGTGAGGGGCACAGAACATGGTGAACACCCCTCCTCTCCCCCCCCCCCCCC